CCCAGCCTCTTTCATTCCCTGTGGCACCGCTAGTGGCTTGAAACATTAGGCCTAATTAACAAACAATAGACGGTGGGTCTAATCTCGTGTTGAGTATCTCGTCTGCTAGAGTTCGTCCTTTTGCCCGCCCGCTCAGTGAATAAAATTGTCGAGCGGACCTAAGAAACGAACTGACTTGAGGCTTGAGGTCCGCAGTCCGCTCGCTGAGAGAGTAAAATTGTGGAGCGGACCCAAAAAACGAACTGTCTTGAGGTTCGCAGTTCGCTCTCATGGCCGTCTGTAACCCGCTCGCTCAGACTGAGTCCGCAAGTAAAGAACCCGACAAACCTCAACTCTACCTCCCCCATTTATATAATTTATTCTATTGACAGGTTGCTTCGGTCTTGCCTGTCATGGTGATGGGGGGCTTGAACATTAGATGGCGAGTGGGGACAAGGGACTGGGACATTCCAGTTGAATTTGAATGAAGTTGTCTCGTTTTCAAGGGAGCTCAGTAGTCATGCCTGATTTTATTTGGGTTATGTCCCTTACTTCAGCATTTGTGTGTATATTTACTCATTTTTTTTGCAAGTTGTTGCTTTCTACTAGGACTTCATTTCGCTTGCAGCATTTTCTCAGTTATGTTTCATTCGTTCATGTTTTTAAAAAAATATTTTTTTCTTTTATTACCCCGGGGGGGGGGGAGGAGGGTGTTCAGCACTCGCTAAAAAAATACCAGTTTGAAAGGTTGAAAGGATGCAACAGTTGCATGGATGCTGAGATTGGTTTGATATTGAAAACGAGCAGGTGGTTGGCGGGTGCTCTGGTGTGGTTTGCCCCTTCTTTTCTATCAAACATCTGACGTCCTTTACTTCCTTGTTTTGTGAAAAAAATGTTGTCCAAAACCATGTTTTTGAGATATAGCATCAGTAGAAGTGTTGACCTGAACGCATTTTTCAAGGCTTTTCATGTCTGGCCTGATTCTTATGCTCTTAATAATGCGCCGGTGAAAATTATCCGTTCTGGTCACCTGGTGCATTTCTGCGCCAGACCCGAGAAGTGCGATGCAGTCGCTCACCTGGGTGAACAGATATCAAACATCTATCGTCTTTATCTCTCCTCCTCCTGTTTTGTATATGTTACTCTCTTGTAATGCATCTATTTTTCAGCACTTATAGTATGACCTTATTGTGTTGTAAGTGCTGTAAAACCCTTACTAAAACTAAAACTATAGATGCTTTTCCGATCCAGCGACTATTGAGTTCTAGCCCTTCGGCCTGGTTCCATGCAGATAATACATCGATGTACATAAAAATCAACTGAACTGTGAGGTGAAGATTTTACCGTCAGTTACTCCCAGAGCCCTAGCAACAGTTGTTGTTGTTGTTGTTGTTGTTGTTGTTGTTGTTGTTGTTGTTGTTGTTTGTTTTCTTCAAATCCCTTTAGCTGCGAGCATTTCGCTCTATCCTAGCAAAGGTACACAGTGGAAGAAAAAATGAAGAAGAAAAAAGAAAAGGTGCGATGTCAGCAGGGAAGATGGAATAACAGATTGTTTTTGCCTGTTGGGGGAATAACGGACTATTTGTATACTAGGTGCCTGTCAGGGTTGAAATCTCACAAGAGTCTTGTACTCATGAGCAAGTCATTTGTGTGCGGTATTGATAATGTTGTAAAATGTGCAGTCATACCCATGTACAAGTTATATGTGTGAGTGGTTGAGAGAGAATGAAGGAGAGAGAGAGAGAGAGAGAGAGAGAGAGAGAGAGAGAGAGAGAGAGAGAGAGAGAGAGAGCTCATACTATGGCACTAGTAAGAAAGGAGGTGAGTCGGAGAGAGTGAGAGAGGAAAAGAACCAGGGAAAATGCGCACGGATGAACTCATAAACCTGACCATATAAACTTTCTCTCCAGAGATCAATAAAGGTTCTTTCATTCACAGTATAAAATGCACACTTGAACATTATTTAAGCCACGTTTTATGTGTGGAAGGCTGGTGATATCGTAAAACTTGATTCATAGTTACGATACTGTATGTGTGGGAAGTTACTAATGTTATGAAAGAGTAATGATGAATATATTATTATTATTAGGTTTTTTTTATTGTTGTTATTATTATTATTATTGTTATTGATATTATTTTTATTATTATTATTATTATTATTATTTTGTTATTATTATAATGCTGATCATTGCTATAGCTCCAACTCCCGTACCGTATAGCTCTAAATGCTTTGTAATAATCACTTCATCTAACTCAAAATACACGTCCATCAACGTGTACACAGTATGCTCATTAGATTGACGCCAACAATGTAAGCAGACACTCGTATATATATGCGCTATCACAACACGATCAATGACGATACGCACATCACATTATGAACATACGACTACTATGAATACGGACTAACAAACAAGGTAGCAGTTTATGAAGAATGTTTTGTGGGTGGTTGGCAGGTGCTCTGGTGTAGTTTGCTCCTTCTCTCCTATCGAACATCTATTGTCCTTATCTTCCCTTTTTCTTTTTTTATGTTTGTTACTCTCTTGTAACACATCTAAATCTTCTGGCGCTCATATGACCGTATGCAGTTGCGAGCGCCGTAAAACCTATACTAAACTTTTTAAAAATACAAGATGGCAGTTTATGAAGAACTTTTTTTCTGAAATTTAAATGTTGCCTCCGGCTTTGTATCCCTCAAACATCGAATCGTATAATAATAATATGTGGGTTGTTACTAACGATGTTTTCATACCCATAGCCATATAAGCTATGGTAATACTAATTATTATTATTATGTGTGGGCGGTAGATGATAATAGTAATATCATTAGGACGAGTAACTGATGCCCTTCCCCACATTGTATGTGAATCTGTATGATGTATACGTAAGCATAACTCTGGTGGTCAACGCCTGTGTGTCTGACGTAGATGGTGTACAGTGTCTTGGTCAGGTGCTCGCTCATTAGCCTCATCAGAAACACACGGCCGGCTCAAGGGCGGGCGGTGGTCATTGTTGGTGGCTCGGCGAATGAGCTGAGCGGCGCGTGGGGTTAATTAAGCTAAATTAGACCCCTCGATCCTATGTGCTCTCCAGCCTGGGGGTTGTGACGTGTTGCTGCGCTGCCTCAGGCTTGTTTCAAGCTCGCA